CGTGCGTGCGTGCGTGCGTGCGTGCGTGCGTGCGTGCGTGCGTGCGTGTGTGTGTGTATGTACGTGCGTGACTAGCATGCTGTATGGTAGATTGAACGAGCGGTCAGGGTAACCACTCATTAGCCCACACATGAAACATTCTGTGCGTTATTCGTACTCTCCACCCGCCCCGACCTCCGTCCACCTTCCCTTATTCTTCTCTCTTTATTCTCACCCGCTACTTCCCCAGGGCACAAATGCTTGCTTCGGTACCTCCTTATACTCTTCACGTCCCCTCCATCTACCCTCCTCTCTAGCTATCTTTCTTTGCTGTTTCCAGTATGTACTATACCCCTTCCTGCTACTACCTCCCTGCACCCCTCCTCTCTATACTTACCCTCCCCCTCTCCTCTCATTACACCCTCTCCCATCTCCTGCCCTTCCCTCTCCTTCTCTCCTCTCCCGTCCCGTCTTCTATGTTCTCTCTCCTCCTCACCCCTCCCTGGCACCTCCCCCTCTCCTCTTGTCCCCTTCTCTCCACCATTTTACTCCCCTCCCCTTGAGTAGTCCTCGGGTATCATTAATGCCTGCTTTTATCGATACATTTTAATGCGGGTGTGTCTCTCCTTCCCTCTGCTACGTTTTTATTGCCGCGCTTTCTCCTCGTTACGGTAACGGGAAACTGTCGTCTTTTTTATCGTGTTCGATACCCGGGAGCCGCCGCGGGTGGCTTCTTAGCTTGCTGCGGGGTTTTTAAGATGTTCGAATCCCGATTGCACTGGTCGGATCTTTGTCGCTGCGGTTTTTACATGTTCGAATCCCGAACCCTCAGGGAGGTATCACAGCTCCTACGGATTTTACGTGTTCGAGACTGGAACGCACCGAGTGGTGTCTTTAGTTACTGCGGTTTTTTACGTGTTTCGTATTTTCACCGTTATGACTGTTTTCGGTTAAGTTTGTCGGGCTGGCTGGTTGTGTGTACGTGTGGTGGTGGGCTGGATGGTTGGTTGCTGGTGTGTGTACGTGTGGTGGTGGGCTGGATGGTTGGTTGCTGGTGTGTGTACGCGTGGTGGTTGATTGGATTGTTCGTTGTACGTGTGGTAGGCGCTCTGTAAGCAGCGGGTAGACTCTAGAAACATGCGATGTTTTATACAAAGCAACTATTGTTTGCAATCATTACGCGCTATATAATGGCCGCCGAGTGGCTGGTTACTGTAGGCGAAACGCAATAATTCGTCGAGGATAAATACAATTAAGA